GATCAACTTTCATTTCAATACCTACCGCGTACGGTCGTTATGAGATAGTGTTATTTTCCTAATTTCTCAAGCTGTAATAAGTCAAAACCGTTTTACGAGCGATGCGAAATAATATCAAAAATATCATTTCTCTTTCCAACTTCCCCTATAGCTGATGGGAGCGTTCGGAAGCGGTCGTTTTTTGTAAATCAGCAGTTCATGGGTCATTCTTCTAGCATTTCACCGGCAGCAAGGAAAATCTTGCTTCCATAACCCTAAATGCAGGCGGTGGAGCGACCACTTCCCTGATGGCATAGTACTGATAGCATCCGTAAGATTGATAGCTTGAGGTGCTTTGTGATGAAACAGAAGAATATGCGCGTAACTGTACAGTGAATTTGTAGCCGGAAGCTGTTAATCCGATGTGCGATACCGTGCTATGCTTATAAAGTGCTACACCTGGTAAAATAAGTCTCCAAACCTTTTCACATTAGCTATCAACAAAGCGAAACTATGAGGGTTTGGCAACGATCTTACGGATCTTTCCTGACAACATATGGACAAACTAGCAATCTCTACTCACTTAAACCTCATGCATTTTTATTCAAAGAATAGCTACTGAAAGAAAGAAAGAAATGAAGAAATTGTGGAAAATATCTATGTTGCAAATGCGATAAAAAGCCTCCTTAAACAGCTTTGTCAATATCTAACTTCTACTTAAGTAGAAGTACCAGAGTTAAAAAAACGAGCGAAAATCCTTTAATACAACTAATTCTTATTAACTTGTAATTATATTCGCGAAATTAAAAAAAGAAGAAACGGTTTCTGATTTTAATCGCTCATAAGCGGAATAAAGATGTAATCAGAAAAAAGTTTTGAAATTTTTCTCTGTATTCTTTGATAAGAAACACCTCGTGAAAAGCTGAGGGAGTGTCAGCACATGTAGTAGTATCATGTAGTAGCCAATAAAAAAAATATCAAATCAACATAGTGCTATTGCAAAAACGGTACTCATTGCTGCAGTGGTATAAATTTTCCTTTAAATTATCTCTACTAAGCTACTTTATAGCCACGCATATCGTAAATTCCAGGGAAACGCAGAATGGGAAGTCATAAACGTGACAGTAAGGCAGATGAAATTTATGGAAGATGGAGAGTATCGTGCTGAGGTGGGTAAATTAACCGCTATGAGAACAGTGTGCAACTCTATTTGTAACTAATTTCTATGTTTGCTTCAGGTCCACTACATTCTGCATCTTAATCGTCGACCAATCTACTATATCACGGTCATTGTCGTTCCTACCTTTTTGATTTCTGCTCTTTCAATTCTGGGCATTTTTTCACCTGGATCAAATGACGGGCCAAGAAATGAAAAGGTCGGTGGCGGCATCTCAATCAACTTTGAGCACAACAAGGCTTGGCATAGAAGTCAAAATTTACCTATTAGGTTTCCCTTGGACTCGGCTCCCTACTTGCTATGACTGTGCTGCTAGATATCGTGGCAGGTGCTATGCCGAAGAGCAACAGCATACCACTTCTTGGTAAGTGCAAATCTTAAGACAAATGATCAGAACAGGAAACTAGACATTTTACCATATCTATATGAATTATAAGCATTTCAGGTTTTTATATTATTGTGGTAATTATGCTATGTGCCATAGGAGTTGCCATCTCAATGGCTTTATTGGGTTTATCGCGATCTTACATTCAAACCGAGGAACTTCCCTCAAAAAATGCGTATAGGTATGTTTCTACAATTTTACTGTTGGATGGTTTCAAAGTGTCTCGCTAATTTTTAGATTTTTGCTTCTAAAACCTACAAAAGCGATGAGATACAATAGCATTTGTCCCATTGCTCCGTCGGAGAAGATTGCGGGTATAATGTAAGTTCAGCTAGTACTGAAACTATGTGAATTGCTCTAATAAGCTTAGAAAAATTTATCTACTCAATTATTCATCTATTTATACATTTTATGAAGTAGAATGCATATTTGTGTTCATGGGCGTATGTACGTTCCGAATTCAAATTTTTGTTTATGAACCAACTTCTGCCAAACTTTGCACACATACGCTACTCAAAAGGGGATAGCATAGGCAAATTTATTTATCAGAAAATATCGAATTTGTTGTTTTATTTTCGCACTTTTCGCTCTAGGCAGCTGAAACTTTGGGTGAAGAAATCGATACGTAGAGGAGGTAACTATTCGAAAGAATACTGGTCGATTTTAATTTTTTACCGCTTTTCACCGTTCTCAGTGTTGAAAATCAGTACATAAGGGTCAGACAACTTGCTGACTGC